TTGATTCGTTGAAGCTCTGGCAACCTACTTGTTTTAAGAAACTTATATGTTGTGACTAAGACTTGGGGAGAAAATTTAAAAAACGTGATTTCGTTGATTTGTGTAATTTATGAAAATCATGCGCATCAGAAACCGGTTACACGAACAATCACATATATATGACCTCGCAGGTTCTTATGTTAAATGTAAATATACGATATACTGTGATCAAATTAACTCTTTCATACGACTGACGCGCTATTTTGTTCTTTTTCGACGCGACGTAGCTTCTTCTCATCTACTGATACCGTCATAAATTAAGAAATGAGTAGACGTCCCAGAGGCGGCAGACCAAATGAAAACTTTGTTAACCTTCAAAGGGATATAAGACTACCGGGGACACCACGTCCAATAAAGCCCGTAGAGGACAACATTGATCGAACACCTGAATATAAAGCTTTCATGAAAAGTCTTGAAGAATTTCATAGAGCCCATGGGTAAATTGAAATCTTTGTTTCAAATTAGTATTTTTTTTTTTTTTTTTTGATACAGTAAATATCATGAAGTGGAAGATAGTTTTTTTTTTTTTAAAAAAAAAAGAAAAGTCATTAGTTGATAAAATTTTAAATATATTTTCCTATTAGTACTCCGCTGCAAAAAGAACCTGTTCTTGGTTCCAAAAAATTGGACTTATACAAAATATACAATATGGTGATCTCTCATGGCGGCTGCGAAAAAATTTGCCTGGAAAAAAGCTGGAAAAAAATTTGCGAACCGTTCAATTTTCCATCAACTTGCACAAATAGTGCTTACGTGATGAAAAATGTATATATAAGGTTTCTAGAGGCATATGAAATGGAGAAACATTGGGGCAAAACTGTGCCGTATGGTGGTCTTCCACCCAGACCACCGATATCTCCTCAAATTTCACAATCTCATGATCATCAATATCCTACGTCACACCAAGAACTATCAACACCTCCAATCCAAAGGAGGATTCTAACGCAAGAAAATTTGTCAGGTAAATAAATTATAATTCAATGAGCACGTTATAGATTAATACAAATAATCTTTACTATAAAAATAAATCAGAGGTGGTGCCTCCAGTTCAAGCATTTAATAGTTACGATTCTCCGAGCATTCAATCAACAGATCCACCAGTACAAGTATCAGTACAACCTGAAAGACAAGAGCAAGAAGACATAGAGGAGGAGGAAGAAGAGGAAGAAGAAGAACACGGTAACTGTTTTATCATAATTATTCGTTTATTTTTATAATTACTTATTCTATTTTATGATTAGGTTTCCTTCTTGGTGGAGGGCATCAAAATCGTATACTTCTTGCCCTAAAATCTCACCTTCCAAATGAGGTGGATTGGGCATTCGAAATCTTAGTGCAACTCTCGGCAGACGAAATAATCAATTTTCATGTTGATAAAATACCCGGCTTGGTGGATACTATCCTCCTATTCGTGTCTCCATTTTACAAAGATTTACGAAAGCTTACGGGACATGATTCTGTTTGCATGTCTGTTATGGATTATTGCAAAGACATAGATAATATCGAGGCAACGATCAACGAATTCTTGAGCTCACCAACAAAAGTTGAACAAGTAAAAAGGATAATGCAAATATTTTTAATGTTTCGAAATCTTTCTTTCACTGAACATAACGTAAAATTTATGGCTGGATACAAGCCATTACGCAGATTTTTAATAGAAAGTCTCGTTTTGCCTGAAGTTGCGCGACTATCAGAACTAAAACATCATTGCCTAGAGACGGTAGCAAATATGTGTAGGGTTATAACTCTGAGAAGTAGTAAAGATGAACTTCTTTCAACTTTGCCTAAGTTACTCTATTCCAAAGACAGTGCGCTTGTTTTGCTTAGTATTCGTGCAATGGCTAGTTTAGCAGCAAACGAACATAATGCTGATTTTTTGCGAGAAATAGATCCTACTATAGTACAACGTTTAGTGCAACTATTACTAATTGAAGATGATGAAGAATTGATACTTGCGGTATTAGATTGGTTCTATCAATACTCGACTTACGAAGATTCTGCTTATACCATAGCTCAAAATGCTCCAGGAAATTTCGTGCGTCTTTTAATTAATTTTTTGCGCTATGGTGCAAATGAAGAAGATTATATATACGACCAAAGAACACCAATGGAACTGCATCCCTTTCAAATCCATGGTGAATTTGAAGATTATCCTGAACCTTACCGCACTTTAGAATGGTGAACATCAAATCAGCAATTAGGAATATTTATGAAAAAATTGACGTGTATATTTTTAATTTTTATTTTTTCTTACAAAAAAAAAAAAAAAAAAAAAAATATATATATATATAATAGGCTAAAAAGATTCTACGAAGAATCACAATTTGATGGTGTGCTACAAACAGAAATTTGGTATGCGTATCGTGATCAATTTATGAATTCACCGATGCCAATGATGCCAGCTGCGGAGGTTATTAAGCATGTTAATCAAGCATTTCCGGAATCAAACGCTGTAATGATCACAACGGGAGATGGGTCGTCAAAATATCCTTTCTCTAGCTGTTTATTTTGATGCATTTTTCAATTTATCGTTTAACCGATCCCTGACTCGATATTACATATATGATTCAAGGAATAAGACGTAAACCATTGCAGGAAGAATCAACAGTGAATCGTAAAGTATTTCTATTTTTATTTATTATTTCTATTAATAAAGTTTATCAACCTTTAAATCATTTTAAACTTGATCAACTTTTAGATCCTTCCTATAGATGTCGTTGGACTGGCTGCATGTCCCTTCCCTTTGCTGTAGAGAACGATTTGTATAATCACGTTTTTAATGACCATATTAATGCAGAACAAGAGAGATTTGAATGTCACTGGATGGGGTGTCGTCGGTTTCCTTGCGGTGTAGAGAGCCGAACGTCTGTCATTGCTCATGTTAAAACGCATTTTCCAGTTTTTCCTGATACAGATGGAGATAACAGAAAACATAGAGGAAAATCATCTAAATTTAAAGTATTGAATAAGTATGGCAAAAATAACGGTATTATTAGCCATAAGACTCATGTCTCTGTAGATATGAATGGAGATGCTATTGGGATTCCTTTGACTGCATCTTTAATACTTAGAAATCTTTCTATTTCGAGGAAGAATCTACAATATTTTGAAGCGTATGAACAAGAGTTGACCGAGTTATTGGCCAATTGTGTTGGATTATCTAAACACCTGGCTGAAACATTGAGTAATTTGAAGTCTATGTAATGGTATTAACAATTTTTAGACATTTTTTATATTTATCAGGTGGGTTGGTAAACGAAGAATCTCGTTGAGTGCATATTAATACTTTAATATTCTGTTTTTTGAGTATATGCTTAATAGATATGGTTTGATGCTCAATGTTATAAACTGATTATTAGTGATCTACCGTTAATATAGTGTGTTTTTAAATGTGTTCAATAATTACTACTTATGTTTAATTAATCTTTTACGTAATGCCAAAGTAAACATGAAAGGTAAATTGTCTAATCTAAATTTATATTTCGAATGGACAATGCGAATGTGCAACTAAAAAAAAATTTATTTACATAGGTATTAAAAGAAAAAAAATAAAAATAAAATAAAAATTTTTCCTCAATTATATCTTACTCAGGATTGCCAACACTTTGCAGTCACGTGATTAACGATAAAATCCTTTAAAGCTTATTTAGGTTTGGGTTAGGGTCTGTTTTAGGGTTAGAGCTTAGTGGTTTTAATAGTAAAATCGTCCAAGGAAATTTTTTGTTAATGCACGGAAGGCGGTTACTTATGCAGAATTTTGAGTTATAGGCGATGTTTGACAAAACGAACGTTTGTTTTGAATTTTCTTGATTGTGCAACGTTGCACCTGATCCTGAAATCTGATTACCATGTATAACTAATTATGACAAAAATATGTATAGTCCTCACTATGATCATATTGTTACACGAATGAATATCATTTTTTAATAGGAATTTACTATACGAGAGTGATAAATCTTTAAAATCTAACTCCTCGCTCAGTATTAATTTTTTGAGCTTAAAAATAAAATAAAATATATTAAAAAACCATGCCTTTTAATATGTTGTGAGGTTTTTTTTTGGTACTTAAAATTTTAATTTTTTTTTTAGTATTTTTTTTTTTTGAATGTTAATGGTGAGACTATGTCTCTATCTTTATTGAAATTTAATTTAATTCTCTTACATTGAAAAGAATACATTTAAACTCCATATCCTAAGATAACAAGAAAAGAAACTCAGACTAGTTTATCTGCGGCCTAAACCATTTTTTTTAGTATTTTATAGCTATTCATACAACTTAAAAATCACAAATTTGTAAATAACTTGTGTTATATTTTAAATATTAAAATTTTGGCATGAGAGTTTAAAATACTAGTTATAATGCATTGATTAATGTACACTCCCCTGACAGTGATTACGGGAATTTTGGAAATTATACATGATTGACAGCAATAACTCACTGTAAAAAAAAATTTTTTGTGCAACCAAATTCTGACCAAAAAACAATTTTTTTTTACTGTTTCACTAGAAGTTGTCAGTTTCGACTATATATATATTTTTTTTTCATGGTTTTTTTTTTTATCATAGAACAAAGAAAAGAACTTACTGAAGAGCAACATAGCCAAATTGTTGGTGTTTGGCGCAGCGGTGTAAAGCCAGCAAAGATTATAAAAGCCTTGAAATTTCCAAAAAACACTGTTTATAACATTGTTAATTATTACAAAAAGATCGGAGACGTTAAACCACTTTCTTGTCCCAGGATGTCACCTAAAATAACTGAATGTAGCACCTATCACCTTGTACGCTTTTTGAAGCAAGATAAAAAGGTTAGTTTGAATATGTTGACCAATAAATTTATCTAATCAATGTTCATTGAAGTGTTTACACATATTGTCCAACGTCGGCTTCATGAAGAAGGTTTTTTTAGCCAGGTTGGAAAGAGAAAACCATTTGTAGATGAACCCTCCCGTGTAGGTCAGTTAAAGTAGGCTAAAAACAAAGAACATTAGAATAAAAGGTGAAAAAATATCATTTGGAGCGATGAATCACAGTTTGAAATATTTGGAGAAGATGGTCGTATGTATGTTTGGAGGAAATCAAAGGAAAAGTATGATATAGATTGTTTGCTTTTGATGTTTAGGTCGGGAAGAAGAGGTGTAATGGTCTGGGGCTGTTTTAGTATATATGGTTCTGGACTGTTGGTTTGGGTTTTTGGTAGGATGAATTCGAAGGACTATATCGAGGTTCTTCATGATTGTTTGTTACTTTATTTAAAAGGTTTAGAAAACGTTGTTGGAAAAAAAACATCTTTTCCAAGATGACAATGCAAAAATTCACACGCCTATATTGACCAAAAATTGGATAGACAAAAATTGCATTGACACACTTCTCTGGCCTTTGTACAGCCCAGATCTCAACCCTATCGAATATATTTGAGATTAATTGAAGCGTCATGTCTGTAAGCATATTCCTCTGCCAGGCAGTGAGTTGGAACTACTCTGTTTGCTCCAGGACGAATGGTTTAATTTAGGTGGTTCAGTTTTTAGAACCCTTGTTGAAAGTATATCCCATCGTGTTCATGCTATAATTGATGCTAATGGTTACGCTACACAATATTAATTTTTGTAAATAAAAGTTTGTTTACATAACTATTAAATAAAAAAAAATTGATCCAATTTGATA